TATTAAGGAAACGATGGAACGACAATGAGAAAAGAGTTCGTGTTGTTAAGAAGCCATATACTCCACCGGTTAATTCTTCAAAATTACTAGGCGATGCTAAGGAAAATATGGATGACGAAGCTAAAAAGGTACATTGCATTATTTTTTAAAACATTCAACTACTTTAACAATATATTGTCTTTCGTAGTTATGCAACAAAAAAAAAAATTTCAATTTAATCTTTGCTCATTTTTATTTGAAGCAATATAAGCGTAAAATGACTTTTACACAGTCTTCAAAATATAAAAATTTAGGGTGAATTAATAAACTTTCCAACTTCTTCAGCTTAAAAATAGTAAAAAGTTTCCTAGATGGCCTATAAAACTAATTATTTTCTAAAATTTAGAAAAATATTACTGTAATCGTAAGACATACAATAGTTATTAATTAATAATTATTTTTTACGAAAAAATTGTGGAAAAATGCATTTATTGTATGGTAAACTAAATAAAATGTCTTATTAATTACAGTGAAATTTATAGAAAGACGTATAAAATTTACTGTAGGCTACAGCAAAATATTTATTTATAGAAATTTAGAAATTATCTCACTTACCGATAAATGATTAAGCTGTACTATTAGTCACACGATTACTATGAATGTAACGATAACATTGATCGAAATTTCTTTTCGTATATTAAAGCAACACTATAAGTAATTAACAGCTTTTATATTTTGTTTCATTTACTAACAGCCAGCCAAAAAAAAAAAAAGCACGAAAACTTAAATCAGAGCACAGCAAAACATTTAAGAGATCAATTGTCAGAGAGCTCGCCATCGACGAACCTAAATAACGTAAGTTTTCAAAATCAAAATACTTTTTTGCTGGTTATTTGCTATTTGCGATAATAACATATTTTTAAGCTAAATTCGTAAATTTCTGAAGATTTCTAATTTTTTTTATTTTGTTTAATACTATCATTATTGGAATCCAAACAATAGATTTTTTTAAAATAACATCAAAGCTGTTATGTTCGATGAAATTCAATGTTGAAAGCAAAATATTTCAATAACTTGTGTTTTCTGGTTCATTGTAATTTTTTGAAAATGTAATTATAATCTTTCAATATACTACGCTCTATTAAATACTAAACGGTCATTATTTAACTGACAGTAATACCTTTATAAATTTAAAGAGCTAAAGAGCTTTATAAATTTACACTAGTCATAAAAATTAAGAGATATGAAAAAAGCAAAAAAAAAAGTGGAAGTTCCAAGTGTCTAGTTTTCAGATATGACTATGAAAATTTTTTATCATTTTTGGGTCTGGAGAAATCCTAAGAAAACTACTAAAAATTTCTAATTTTTTTTTTTTAAAAAGTCTACGGGCTTCAAACAATTTTTAGTAGATATATGCATTAGGGTGTGCCAAAATGTAACTTCGTTGATGGACCTCTTGGAATTGGAATTTTGAGATCCGCTTTTAACAGGAATTGTGTTTAGGCATTCACGAACATATTTTGAGCGTAAAGGTTTATTTTATTTTTATAGAATTTTTTAACAGGAGTTTTGTTCGACCAAATTTTGAAATTTTGAAATTCCAACAAAAATGGCCAAACAAAACTCCTGTTAAAAAATTCAATAAAAATTAAATAAATCCTTTACGCTCAAAATATGTCAGGAAATACCCAAACACAACTCCTGTTAAAAGCGGAACTCAAAATTCCAATTGCAAGAGGTCCATCAACGAAGTTACATTTTGGCACACCTTAATATACATCCTAATATACATATATTTATACGATATAATAAGGCTTGTAAACACGATAGCGTTTTCAATTCATAACCGATTCTTCTAAAACACAACATGCTTTATCTATCGATAAAAACCAAGGTTAAGTTTGAAGATAAGCTTAGTCGAGCGAGTTATTTGGAAATGCAGAATTTTGAAATTTTTGAAAATTGTATAAATTAATGTTTTTACCACTTCAACTTGGTATAATTACCGAAATTGACAAGATATCCAAATTCAGTAAGTTTCATCGTAAAGCTCTTTTAATAAGCTTCAATTTTCACTCCTCAGAAGTGCTAATAGCAATATTAGCACTTGCCTCAATATTACTCCATTTAGAGTTCGTTTAGTAAAACAGTTTTACTGATGCAGCCGTTTTAGAATTATCGCCTGCATCATAGCATAATAATGATGTAGATTCAATAACTACGAAATTGATCAGTCTTTCAGGTAATGTGTTCGGGTAGGTAGTCAGTAAATATGTCAGAAATTATTTCTAAATATTGTTCTCTTAAATTAGAATTTTATTCGGTTTCAAAATTATGATTAATTCGGAAACTGTTGTTCTTAAGCAGTTACTTAAGATTTGGGTATTGATAATTCAAATCTTATAACCTTTGAAATTGTTTGAAAAACTTTATCGAAAAACTTTATCTCTACAAGATAATTTTTAACTTCCCACTAAGAAAATCGAAGATTTTCAAAAATCGGGGTTATTGTTTTCATCCCGTTTTGTAAAAATCAAGTTTTCATCAGCTTCACTAAACACTTGGAGCTACAATTTGCGTTTTTTTTTTGCTGTGCGATCATTTCACTCAAAGTTACAGCTCTTGAGAATCATCTACTAAGAATTTGGGATTTTTTTTATATCTCTTAATTTTTGTAACTAATATATATTTAAAGTGTTATTATAAAATTCTAGCAGTAAATGAAAAAACACCTCCGAAGACCAAAGATAAAACAAATGCATTGCATGATGGTGGCATCGATAGAGGTAATCAAGTCGGTTCAAAAACTCCGCCTCGAGCACCATTAACAATACCTTCCAAATCAGATTCCTATCTTGAAGGGTCAGATGCAGGAGTGATTACCAGAGATAGAATGCAAAACATAAAAAGAGTGGCATGGAAAAGACGCATGGAAAGTAGATATCTTAATTTAAGAGAAGAAGTAAATGAATTGAAAAGGTCTAAGAATGAAAATAATAATAAAAACGAGAATAATGAAGATAAGACAAAGAGTGTGAAGTTGAAGGAAACAATCGTAATTGAAAATGGAGAACAGGTAAACTATTATTTTGACATTTATAAGTAATTATAAAATATATAACATAATAGAAATTTTGAATCGTTTAATTGAGAAACCCCATAAGTCAATAATACTAAATTTTTCAGGAGAAGCAAAAAAAAATTTTTTCTCGATTAATTTTGCATTAGCATCATGAACCAATAGTGAATAATAATAATGTTAATATCCTGAAAAAATATTCGAACATGAAAAAATTTGATTGTTAATTTCTACTATTCATAATAATGATCTTAAGTTGATTGACTTATGGGGTTTCTCACCAAAACGAACAAAATAATAAAATCATTAATTTATAAATTTTTCTCGGTCAATCATTTATTACATATATATAAAATAAAGTACAAAATATGTATTTGAACTACAATTAACGAAAATTATAAAAAATCATCTATTTTTTCATTCAAATTAGTGAACTGAGAGTCAACAATAAAACAACATTTTAATTTATCATAATCTAACTTTATAAAACAAAAATTGCAAAAATTATTGAAATCAAAGTATTCAACGATAAATATAATATATTTTTATTTGGTTATGATTAATTTCGGAATTTAAATCAGTTAAATCAGAGTCAACAATAAAACAACATGATTTTAATTTTAATCCATCAACCGAATATTGTAAAACTCCTTATAATTTAAGTATCTGACAGTAAATTTAATTTCTTATTATCTAGTAATCAATCATTTTAAATTTGTAGTCAGTGAAATTACATAAAAAAATATAACAATAATTTAATATATTTTTTTTAAACCCATACTGCGAAAATTATGAAAATTACAGTATTTTACATTGAATTGAATTTTGTCTCAACTAAACGAGATTTATATTGACCGATTGGTTAGGTCTTGCACACAGATCTAATATTTTTGGGGCTGGTATAAGTGAGGGAAAATTCAAAGAACCGAAAAATGTAATAAACCCGATTTCGAAAAAAATATGACTTATAGGGTTACTGAAATAAACGACATTCACTTATTTTCTCTGTTAATTTTTTAGATCACGACGATTGATGATGTTGTATTCACCAGTACGGAATTTGTAACTATTGCAAAGCAACCAACAATGAAAAAAAGAGTCAGCTGCTTAGTGCCAGTAGTTTGGACTCAAGAAGTAATTCAGAAAAAATATTTGAATCCACGTAAAAATATGGAGGGTTGTGTACTTATAACCGATGCGGATAAATTAAAATTTGATCGCAAGTATCTCTTTTAAATTTACTATAAATCATTAAGTTTAAATTGATAAAACAAGAAATTTCGGAGTAATTCCGAAAAAAACACTTTTTTCGGTTTTTTTTCGTCAACGATGACTCACGAACGAATCAACTGACTTTGACCAGACCGGCAGCGCTCGACGTAGTTTTTTGATGTTAAGAGCTGATTAGTTTTTGGAATCGATCGGTAAAACTGTTTAAAAGTTATTTCAAGGAAAGCACATTTAAAAAAAAATTTTTTTTGTGAACCGATTATCGAAAAATGGGGTAAAAACAATAAATTCCCGAATTTTTTAGCGGGAAGTTAAAAATAGTCATGAAACAAAAAATCGTCCTAATTTTTATGGGACAGATTTGTTGATAAAACTCAAAAAATTGAATTGAATTTTATAATAAAATAACAAATAAGTAACTAAAATTTTAAAGTATTTTTTTAAAGCTTAGTGTTAAATTAACCTTCAGAGTACACATGTCCGAACAGAACTTTAGAGTACACATGAGGTCGAATTGACCCCACTTGATTTTCAAATAATTATATCTCTGAAACTATTCATTTTATCGGAATTCATGTCATTACATTTTTGGTAGGTAAAACAGTGCTCTTTTGAATATAATAATAATAATAATTATTATTATTATTATTATAAATGCAATAATTTTTAATGTTGAAAAAATTAATTAAAAACGAAACTATTTTAGAGAAATGTTTTAGGATAAAAAATTCTGGGGTCAAAATGATCCTCAGTGTACTCCGAGGGTTAAACATGATTAATAAGACGCAAAACTTTTAACTGGTGGACTTAAGATACATTCATTTTTTATATGTTCCAGAGTTATGTTACCATTTTCAAAAGCATCGGAAAATAAATTATGAGACGGGAGGAAAAGATGATCCAAATTTTCATTCCAAACCCTGGTTGGGCCGCCGATGTACCGAATTAAGGAATGTATTGAACCAAAAAAATAAGGTGCATCAAGCACCTCCCGATGGATAATGAATTCTCTAATAATGAAGTTAAAAAAAACATATATGTTAAGTTTAAAATACTCTAATAATATGTTAGAAAAATTAAAAAAAATAATAAAGAATATTGCAAATTTTTAATAATTTTTATTATTATTATTATTATTATTATTATTTAATTAAAGAGTAAAGTAATTCAAATAGTCCACTGAAATTACTCTTATGTGAATACATAGCCGTCCCAAATAAATCACTCTAATATACGTAGTAAAAAATTTTGCGTCATCGCGTCAAAAAATTTTGTGTTAAACATTTTTATGTTAATTATTTAACACTTTTATGTGTAAATTTATAATTTATTTTGTTAAATTAACACAACAAAGTGTTAAATATTTAACACAAAATTTTTTGACGCAATGACGCGAAATTTTTTACTGTGTATAATTAATTATTGATAATTAATAAATTAAGTATAGAACTTCGTTAACTATAAGGATAAGTCATGTATAAAATTTAAATTACTTTAAGTAGTTTGAAAGGTACAAGAGAGTTACGATAAGTCATTGGGTCAACAGGTAAAGTATCAGTCTGGACTTAATTCTAGAGTACCTTTTAAACTACTTTAAGTAATTTAAATTTTATACATGACTTATCTTTATAGTTAACGGAGTTCTATACTTAATTTATTAATTAATTATTGATAATTAATTATACACAGTAAAAATTTCGCGTCATAGCGTCAAACAATTTTGTGTTAAACATTTTTATGTTAATTATTTAACACTTTTATGTGTGAATTTATAATTTATTTTGTTAAATTAACACAACAAAGTGTTAAATATTACTGTGTATAATTAATTATTGATAATTAATAAATTAAGTATAGAACTTCGTTAACTATAAGGATAAGTCATGTATAAAATTTAAATTACTTTAAGTAGTTTGAAAGATACAAGAGTGTTACGATAAGTCATTGGGTCAACGGGTAAAGTATCAGTCTGGAAAGCGCAACGTACATGGTTCGAATCCCCGTCGGCACCAATCTTTTTTTTTTTTTTTATGGACCTGATCGAGTCAGACATGAACAGGTCTGATCAGACATGAACATGCCTGGCCAGGTCTGATCAGACCCGGTCATTTTTCAGATCTGATCAGACCTGAAGACTCATGCCTGTTCATATCTGATCAGATCTGATCATTTTTTCCCGGGAAAACCTTAAATACTCCTTCGGAAATGTATAAGATAATGCTATAGTATTGTCGTGTTTTTTGGTAAAACATTTATAAGCTTAATCAGAGACTTGGTAAAATTCTGCACTAGAAATTAGAATTACAACGTTATATTTACTTGTACAGTCAAACCTGTTTTGATAATAAATCATAAAGTGCAGTTCGTTCTGATTATTCAAGTCACTATAACAACCTAAATATTAAAGAAAGCTCCTTAGTATGATGTTGCTTCTAGATCAAAATTCCATGTGCCTTTCGATCGGCTTAGATTTTGCTCTACAATTAATATTTCTGAAGCATGGACTACTTGTATACGGACATGTCTTTAATACGATGAGAAAACTGGTAAAGTTTCGTTCTATGATTCGAATTACTTCATCTCCTAAAATATCGACGATAGCATCTGATTGTTCGAAGTTTTTTTGTCCGAATTTGCATAATCTACGATTTCGAAGTCTCATAAATTTTCTCTAAAATCAATATTTTAAGAGTTATATGCGCTTTTATGAAAATAGTTTTTACCCTCTCAGTGATTACTCATGATGTATCAGAAGAACCTTAAATACACCTTCGGAAATGTATAAGATAATGCTATATCATTGTCGTGTTTTTTGGTAGAATATTTATAAGCTTAATCAGAGACTTGCTGAAATTCTGCACTAGAAATTGGAATAACAACGTTATATTTACTTGTACAGTCAAACCTGTTTTGATAATAAATCATAAAGTGCAGTTCGTTCTGATTATTCAAGTCACTATAACAACCTAAATATTAAAGAAAGACCAGAAGTGGAGACTTGTTGATTACGATTTCAAAGAAGAGCACTGACAAAGGCCAAGGTCTGCAAAAGACGATAGCGGATATCCTTAAGGAGGAGGCCAAAGTGATTTGCAAAGGGCCACAGGAGACTATCGAGATCCGAGATGTCGATGATGACACGACGAAAGAGCATATTCAGACCGCTCTAAAGAGGGAAGCTGGAGAAAGTTGTGAAATCCCACTAGAGGCAATCAAGATCCGTAAAGCCTTTAGGGGTACACAGACAGCCACAGTGTCACTACCAGCAGCTGCAGCACAAAAGTTACTGGAGGGAAACTGCAAAATAAGGATAGGCTGGTCGAATTGCCGAATGAGAGCAACGAAGAGACCCATACAATGCTTCAAATGCTGGCACTTTGGGCACATCGGATCCCAGTGCAAGAGCAAAGTCAACCGGTCTCAGCACTGCATAAGGTGCGGAAAAGAAGGACACAAAATTGCTGATTGTAAAAATCCAGCTGAATGTGCACTGTGCGTTGAACGGCACGGCGTAGAAAAGGCGGCTCACCATGCAGGCTCGAATAGATGCCCCGTCTTCCAAGAAGCGCTCCAGAAGATAACGAAGCCAAGAACATGAAGATATTGCAGCTCAACCTCAATCGTTGTGAGGCTGCGCATGACCTGCTCATGCAAACTGTGCGCGAATTAGAGGCAGACGTAGCACTTATAAGTGAGCCTTATAGACACTTGAGTAATCAACCCTGGGAATCCGACAGCACTAACAAAGCCGTCATCTGGTCCTGCGGTAAATGCCCTTTTCAGAGAACAGCCAACAACAAAGAAGCCGGCTTCGTAGCAGCATGGGTAATAAATAAATTTAGAGAATCAATTGACTAAATTCTTATCCGCAAGGTTTTGGTGAAATGATAGATGAATTTTTTATATAGAGAAAAATTCTTTCATCTCAGCCTATGTCGATGCGTTTTTTCATAAGGAAGAGTTCTAGACCAAAAACGGGCAGATTGGTCCAGTAGTTTGAAAGTTATAAGCAAAAAACAATGCTCAAATGTTGGATACCTCTTGTAACTCTACTCCTGCTAAATGTCAAATAAAATGGCGGTGAAGTGACAAACAAAATGGCAGCGAAGCGGCAAACAAAATAGCGACGAAATGGCGGCGAAATAGTAAACAAAATGGCGGCGAACTAGTAAACAAAATGGCGTCGAAATGGCCAACAAAATGGCGGCAAAATGGCAAACAAAATGGCAGCGAAACGGTAAACAAAATGGCGGCGAAATGGTAAACTAAATGGCGGCGAAATGGTAAACAAAATGGCGGCGAAATGGTAAACAAAATGGCGGTGAAACGGTAAACAGAATGGCGGCGAAATGGAAAACAAAATGGCGGCGAAATGGAAACAAAATGGCGGTGAAACGGTAAACAAAATGGCGGTGAAACGGTAAACAAAATGGC